AACAAGATAGGAGTAAACATATTGTTAAGAACAAAATCCGCATAACTACATAGGTCCAGTTGCATCTGTCATCTTCAGCTCTAATAATTTTGTTTTTTGGGTGTTTAGGTTTGTTTTTTTATGCAGACGTTCGATTTTCTTCTTTATTCATCTCACATTTTTAGGGGACATCTTTTATTAATTAATCGAAGCCGTTTAATTACAAAGTTACCAGTAAAAATCCGGTTGTGGCTTACCATCATTATTGTGTGTGTCATGTTTTGCATCCCGAACTATTTTTCTGAGTCTGAATTTAAAATATATATGGGTTGTCGTTTTTCGAAGGGAATGGTTTGATTCTAACATTTTAATTTTTATATTTTATTTATATTTAATATTTTATTTTATTTAGACTGTATTACGAATTTGGGATTGCCTTTTTCATGAAGGAGATCCTGTTTTATTTCGTGTTGCAGTTTCTCTCATTGAAAATTCCATACCCTCACTTGTGAAATGCAAGTCACTCGCTGAAATACTTCAATTCTTCGGACAAATTCACAACTTACCGCTAGCTATAGACTGTCACCAGTTGATGAAAGTACAAATTTTTAGAATTTAATTATATCTTCCAAGAAAATGTCTCGCAGTAAGGACATTGTGTTACATCATACTGTTATAAAAAAAAGTAAAATAATTCTCATATTTACTATCAATCAACTAACTTATATTCGCTCCAGTGTTACTTATATTTGATGAATTCTTAGACTTAGCTAAATTTTCATAAATAAATAACACAAATAAATTTTTTCTTGACCACAGGTTCACATTTTTTTCAAGAAATAAGCTCAATTCTCATATTGCAAAAATTTGATTTTGCAGGTCGCTTTTGCAAAAGATAAAAAAACCATTAATGCCGAAAAATTGAATGAATATCGCCAAAAATATGCGTGGACCACCAGTGTAATAAAATGATATAATTTTTGAATTTAACTCATAAATTTACATTCCTTTTCACTTATTACAATACTGTTATTGTTGGGGGTTGAAAATATTTCATTAGTTTCGCCATATTTATTGCTCTAAGATGCCTTTTTTCTCTTCATTAAGGGATTTTTTATTCGGTAATGATTTTATCTATTTTGTATAAATTTTTACCTTAGTATTTCATACATAATAATATTATCATTATAATATTTAGTTATTTTTTTGTTTCATTTATAATAAAGAACATTCTTGCATATTTTTGCTAATTTTATTTGAGTCCTTGAAAAGATTAAAATCTTTATCTATAATTTGTTAAACGAGAAGAAAAAATTTTTCTTAGACAATTAATATTCAATAGACCATCAAAACTAAACCCATTAATCTTATTCAATTGCCATCATTCAATACATATATCCTTTCTTTTTGTCCATCCTTCTATCCATTTTAATAAATATTGAATATTGAAATCAATTTCGTCTTTAAAGATGAGAATTATCTCTTTTTACGACTTTAACGACTGAATAAACATTAATATTATAACATATTTAAAGGCCGGCTTAAAAGTGCCAAAAATATCAAAACAAAAGAATGAACAAAATAAATAAACATATCTTGAAAATAAACAAAGATGCAGTTGGCAGCTCCTTAATTCCATCTCAAAATCTATAGGCAGCTCCTTAATTCCATCTCAAAATCTATAAATTTGAATTCGATTTAGCATAATAATAATAAGCAAAACCACTTCAGGAAATAATAAAAAAATATTTAATAAAAATATAAAAATTATTTAACAAAAAAATAGAGGCATAAAGAAAATTATCTCCCGATAAATCACAAATTAAAGACAGTAATAAATTACACTAATTAATTCTAAAAATAAATGAAAATAATAAAATATTCCTAAAATAATGAATAAATAATAAAATAAATAACAATAAATGAAAATAAAATAAAAACCACAAAATTATAATCTGAAAATATCAGCAGAATGTGGTGCCGTTCAAAACCTTAACTTCGTTTATAAAACTTCATCAAAGCATTGCTAAACATCAAATAATTGAAATAAATAAAAAAAAGGAAAAAGTGGAAAAAAGAATAAATCGCAATGCTAAGGGAATATATGTGCGGATATTTTGCTGGCACTGGAAAACAAATGCATGAAAAACATAATATGAACGACACTAAACAGTCCAAATGAAGCAACCAATGCTGAAATGAAATTTAATTACAAATTAGGAAATTATTAGGAAATTGAAAAATTTAATTCTATTATAATTTGATGAAATGACATTTTGGTATATCGACTGGCTAAGATAAGAGAAAATTTTCTTAGATCATTTTAGACTGTTTTATGCATAGAAGAATGATAAATAATACAGTTACATAGAGTGAATATAGTTGATTTCATCTATAATAATGAAAACCTCAGAATTAACTCTCTGAATTCATTCTTTTGAATGTATGTGCCATTGGAACCAGTAAGGCATTTAGATACTAGAAATAATTAGAGGTATAAGATTCCAGAAATATTAGGAGATAATAAGTTTGCTCTGATTAAAAAAGCACCGATATTTCAAATATAAAGTTTTTAGCATTAAACTTTATTTTATCTTAAAAAATTCTTCAAATATTCAGCTTTATTCAAATCATAGGCTTCAAGAATTCTATCGATTTCTAATATTCCTTCTTATTAATAACTAATAAAAAATTAAATTAAATTTTTAAATTAGGTAGGGGAATTCAGTGCAACCATAAATGATTTTATTTGCTTGGATCATGGCTTAACAAAGTGGCTGAAAATGCAAAATATAAACAGAACATAAGAGATGCGGATTAGAGACGAGATGAGAAATTGCGAAAATCAGATTAACTAAAATTAGTGACAAATCGCCGCATAACGACAATCCAAGGGGCACATATAATATAAATATATTTGAAAATATTCATTAGATCTGAAGAACTTTTGAATATATAACATAAAAGATATGATTTAAAAAAAGAGCTAAAATGATGAAGAACAAAAGTTGTAATTATTTAAAGTTGTAACTTTACAACTTTAAATAGTTACAACTTTTTCTGCATCACAAGATAATTTGACAAGATGACAAATTAGCGACATTTCTTGGCGCCTAATAGTAATTAATTTTTTTCCCTAGAATCTCATTATTACTAGCTCTTTTGGCTTGTCAGACCAGGTGAACCACCAGCATCATATCGGTTTATGAAGGATAGGTCCCCTATCGGGCAGAGATTTCTCCACAGAATTCAAACTCAACACTAACCCATCACATTTCGCTGTTGCTGGTCGAAGTTGTAGGAAGTCGGTCGGATTGAATACGAGCCATTCTTGCAGTAACTAAACCTAAACCAAATAATCTAACCACTAAACCAAATAATGCACCAATTTGTCTTCGACAATATCTATTACACTTTACCATCATATAAATCTTACTCATCACGATGAAAAATTGGAAATATTTTCAAACTTTGTCAAATTATGGCGATAACCTATGGCCATGTGGCCACACAACTGATGCAAGCAGTATTTGGGGCGAAGACTTTATATTTCAATATCATTTGAAACATATATCAAAATAACAGCAATTAACTGAAGCAGATTGCTATATGCATCAATTATTGAAATCTAATAGTATTGAATCTATGGTGAGGATAAAAATTTCACGAGAATAAGCAAGGATTTTCGATATGCATTGAACTGACGTAAACAGTAAATTTAACAGATTTCAACAAATTTAACAGAAAATATTTAGAAAGAGTGAAAATAGAAAGAGTGAAAAAAAAGAACGATAAAGAATAATAAAGCATGGTATCTAAATAAATTAAAACGAAATTATGTATGATTTACATTTTATTATTATATTTTTATATTTATTATATTTTTAATTATTATATTTTTCATTACCGATGCAAAATGATACCTGATAAGAATGGAGTGAAGAAAACGGCGAAGACGCTAAGACGTAAAAAGAGACAAACAAAGCCAAATGTAATGAGTTTCCATCTTGCACGCATAAAGGAAAAAGGCTGAAAAAAATCAATTTTATAACAAATATTCCAAATAACAACTTACTTATTGCTAAAATCGAGAATGAAAAAATACAGATGCAGATACAGATAATTAAAAATGGATATGTAAAAATGTACTAATATATATTATAGTGTTTTCAGAATTTTGCAAACTTTAAGAATTCGTTAAATTTTAAAATTCAGCGATTTTTCCTCATTCTTAATCAACTTAAAAACTTCGATATCTAAATAAATTAAAACGAAATTACGTATGATTTTTATTTTTCATTACCGAAATTATTTATTAAATCATTAAAATTGAAAAATCAGTTTTAGACTCTTTTATCATATCTTAATTTAAGTATTGATTCAATAAGTGTTGTCGCTTGAGTGAACAGCAATAGTCAATACATATTTGGCATACATTAATAGGATTTGCAAAACATATAATTTATTTTAACCTTGCATTAGAAATAATTAGAAACCACGATATAGCAATGGGTCGTTCATGCCAAAGTAACAAAGCCGGTCTGCAAATTCAAATCCTTTAAATATTAAAAGCAAATTTTGTAACTTTAAAAATCAAAAAGTAGCTGTTAAGTTCGATTCTTGTAATATGCTGGAAATAAATCTATTAAAAGAGAAATAAGGGTCGTTCGGGTTCATGCTGGATAGATTATCTAAAGACCAGAAAATAAGCGAAGTACCATAATAAGGATTACAATATTAGATGAGAAGCATATTAAAGTGACTTAAAGCTTAAATGTTTTCATTATTTATGTGATTAATTTTATTGCTATTTAATTTTAATGAATAATTCATTTCAAAATATTCAAAATATCTTCAAACCACATTTCCGAAAAAAAAAACCTTAGTAATAAGCGATACAACGAAGAAATTTCTCAGAAAATTTCACCCCTAATTTGTTCCAGTAAGAATTGTATAAGAATACAAGATAAAGAAAGAACTTCGTTCTTGCATTGTTAATGAAATATTTAATAGATAAAACTTTAAAAAGAATTGTTAGAAATAACCCACACTGCTGCTATAAGGATTGATTTTTCGTGAACTTGAAATGAAAAAAGGAAGAAAGCTAAACTCGAAATAAAGAGCGAAATTTTGAAATTAACTGATGTTGGCTGAGCAAACAGAATTAGCAGACTCGGCAAAACAACAAGCAGCACAACAACTGTACTAAAATATAATATTCCGAAACTTGAGAAATTAATTAAATAAATTAATTAAATATTTCATTATGAAATGAAATAAAATAAATTAATTAAAAAAATGAAAAACAAAAAAACTTCACCTTAATTTAAGCAAATATTCAATAGAGAAAAGTGATTTAAACTTTATAAGGACGCTAAAAGTGCACCAAAAATTCGCAACTTTATCCTGTAAAAAATTCCAAAAAATCAAAAAATTAAAACGGAATCTCAGATATATTATCCACAATATAATCATTCATAAAATCCCTGAAGCTTTTCTTATCGCAAATTTTTCAATTTTATTTTTATGATTTGCAATAATCCAATATTCACTTTTACAAAAGTTTACTGATTTCTCAAATATAGAAAAAGTATACTTCGAAAAGACCTCTATAAAAAGGGAATATGCGCTTCAGCACATCAAACGCAACTCCATGATAGAAAAAAGGAAACCATAAAACCGAAAAAGTTAAGACAACTGCGACAAAAAGTTTGAAGAGATGGCAAAAGCTGCAAATTTAAAATACAACTTTAGAAAATAATTAATTACCTTGGGAATACTTAAAAAATGGAGGATCCAATTTTAGATTTTATTAAATTATCATCTTTATATGCTAAAAAAAATGTTAAGCAATTTTTCCTTTTTTCCCTTTCTTTTCTGAATAATTGAATATGCACCTTCAAAACATATTTTTTTGATTTTCCTATAAACCTTACCGCATAGGAAACCAAAAAACCATAATAAACCGCTTATTTATCGTCAAATCTTGAAAAAATGAATAATACCTTTGAAACAAACTATAATGAGAATATGGTTTTTGAAGCGCTGTTGATAATAAAAAGACTGCTATGGGCAATGAATGATATAATTCCATCTGTTTATAATTAAAAGCCAAAACAAATAGGATAGAACTAAGCGTAAAATAACGAGAAATAAGACAAATAAATGAAATAAGGAAAATGCCAAGTGAAATATGATTATACCTTAAAATAACCAAATTAATGGCTTTTCATTATCAGCGATTAATTTAATAGAAGTATAATATCATTAGAATAATTCAATACTAATTTTGGATTCAAATATCTATTGAAATCCTATGAATCAGTATGTTCTTTAATAGCTAATTGGTAAAATAGCAAAATTCCCACATAATTATTGAAAATCTAGGTCATTTTCCGTACAGCGGAACAATTTTAATAATAATGAAAATAATAATGAAAATTACAAATTATTCAATGCTACATTCCCATGAATTCCCATATAAAAATAATTGGTCAATTCTAGAATACTTCTAAAGAAAATAAACAAAAAAACAAACTGAAAATGACCATTATCCAATGAAATAATCCCTGGATATAGAATAGCAATCATAAAGTATAAATTCTGTAAATACAATAAATGAACTGATTAAATCGACGTATTTGGTCGAAATATCGAAATATCAAAAATTTTCGAAAAATATTAAATAAAAAATTAACCTTTGGTTTATAGAATGAAAAAAATTCGATATAAGCAATGATAGGTGGTATATAAATAATCCAAAATGTGATCAAAACTGATATTCGCATAAAAAGTTTATGCGATTCTGTTTCAATGCCTCGTGAAGATTCTAGAGCAACCCATGAGGGATCCATATAATTGCTTCTGCAAAAATAATTTAGGATAATCTAATAATCTAAAAAAAAAAAAATTAATAGAACAGTAATCAGTAAATTAATAGAACAGTATTTGAAATCGCGATAAATAAATAATTTGATTTAGCAACCCGTTTTTTAGACAAATCTTCATCCCGCCTCGTTATGCAAAACTCCCGGTATAAGTAAGAAGGGATAATCGTTTTGAGTTGCTACGACAATTAATAAATAAAAAATAAACTAACATCACTCCCATAATATAACTGTGATATGCAGTTAATGGAGGATAATCGAGACCCCAATAATTTAGATCATTATTAGTGTCATTTACGTACCTAAAATGAGGATATGTGGAAAAAGATTTATTCGAAAACAAGGGAAAACAATGAGCAAAAAAAAAGTTAATTTTATTGAGGCCTTTCTCAATAAACTATATTTGAACATAGTTTAAATTAGATTTAAAACTTTGAATTCTGAACTAAATATTTCACTGAACTGTATTCACTGAAAAAAAAAAAAATGAAGAATATTTGAAAATGAATAAAAGAAAATTGTATAAAAAATTATACTTAGAAATTATAAAAAATTTAAAGTGATTCGAAAGTTTCTGTAATTTTCGTGTTTTCTATACTTAATGCCACTTTTTTAAATTTTTTTACTGAATTGAATGAATAGATTACAGACAAATAGATTACAATATCATATATAAGAATAGCATATACCCATATTCCCCTTAACCTCGCATTTCCTTTCGCATACGAGTGGAAAAATGCACTAATATCACATTAATATTTTGTCTGTGCTGAGCAAAATGGCATAATTTGAACAAAAAAATATTGAGTTAAACAGACTTTTTCAATTTCTCATACTCTTTCAACTAAAACTATGGTAAATTTCAGGCTGATGAACCGATAAATAAAATTCAAAATATTGAAAGAAAAAATTACGAAAGGATACCACAAATTAATAGGCAAATTGAAAGTTATTTCCATCCAATGCCTTTGAGCTTCAAAATCGCCAAACATTTTTGGTTTATTTTTTCCTAAATCAATATAAATTATGACTAATTTAATTTATCAAGGTGGAATGACTTGACTCAATGACTTGTTGCTCAATTTTTAGCTTCGACACTGAGGTTTCATGGCTGACAGGAGTAAGCCCATCTTTTAAAAATTCGAATCAATCATACTAGCAATTTACTTGAACTCCGCCAAATGACTCCCTGCCGAAACGGAGCGAGCCTAACCAGCAAGCGCTCTTAGAAAAAAATTATCAATTAATAATAATTAATCAAATTAATTAATTAATCAAACAAGTAAACAAATATATGCAATATGAATTACCAAAAAATGAGTATTTGAAAGCAAATAAATTACGAAAAATTTCAGTGATTATTGGCTAAATTCTATTGTTTATTTCATTAAAAAGATGCAGCGCTCGAAATTTTTATCTTTTATCGTACTTAAAGCTCTGAATCAGACTGGTGTGATTGCAAACAGATTAACCAAGAAACATCAGAATCAGAAAAATGATATAGGTTTTGTATAAAAAAAGAGTATTAAGAAAATTTCGCCTTATAATTTCGTTCACAAATAATAAGTGGATAAAAACTGATAAAATGACAATATAAGGCGAGCAATATAAAAGTTAAAATTGAGAAATTCGATTTTCTACGGATAAATTAAAATTTATTCTAAAGCCGTCCAAATATAAGAGTACCATATAGATAATGCTGCGTACATTACTTTTCCACAAATTTTAGAGGCAGTTATAGAGAAGCGAGATATCTTGTTTACCACAAAATCATATCAATGACATAAAAAAACCTGAATATGAACCGCAAGAAACTGCAAGTTGAATTGTAAGTAACAACAAACATATTGAATAAAGAACAACATGATCGTTTGAAATATCGAGTTCCACATTTTGAACCCTTCTCGACATTTTCAACAAATTGTTTTATAACTGCACAGTAATTTTAATTGTTTGCAATTTCTACAAGAGTTCAACAATTTTTTTTTCAATCTTCAAAAATTTCAGTCCTCATAATTTAGATAAGAAATCTCAAAAAAAATTTTTCAGAGACGATTCGTTTTTACCTTAAAAAGCCAATTTAAATTGAGTGATGAAAAAAATTGAGCGATGCAAACTAACTCATGAACTACTCCTCCAATGTCTTCGTGAGCTAAGAAGCCAACCAACCCGCTTATGTGAAATTAATTGCTTATGAATTAACCTTCAGCAAAGTAAGTTCGAAATGGGAAAGTTGGATTAGAGCCAATCGTGCAAACATTCGTTTTAAGATCAGAGATTTGAATTTTACCGAGTGCGAAATAGAAATCGTGAGTGATAATCGTGAGTGACCAACCATCTCCTAGGATCTATAATTTCTTCAATTAGCCTTACTCGGGTAAACTCTTTGCACTCGTAAAGAAATTTTTGAAGCGACGAAAATATTATTGGTAAGCGTTTAATTATTAGGGGGAAACTTTTGCTGCTGCTTCTTTTGCGAGGCCAAAACTTTGTGGAAGCCAATATTTTTTATCAAAATAACTAAAATCACAACACATTTTGCTAAGTGCATTCAGTCTATTCGCATAAAAGACGGAATTTCTCGAATCAGCGATCTATGGGCATTCGAACAAGTTTAGCCTCTTAGAGCGAAGAAAAATAAGTTTTCAATTACCCCATTCAATACCTATGCTTCATGTTTCATATTTTAAACGAGACGGGACGAAATTTTTAAAATGGGCTTGAAGCCACTTTGTTCCCAATTCCTTTAGCATGTGCTTTGCCGTAAGCTCAAAATTAGTCTCAGCTATCCTGGAATGTCTACTACAACAATCTACTATTAAATATCTGCGTCGTTAAAATGAAAGGGATAAATAAAAAAGTGAAAAGGAATGATCCAGACGACTTTCGTCTATATATCTGAGATCGATTTGCACGTCAGAATCGCTTCGTCCAGAACTTTTCCCAACTATTTCATGTTTTTGGTACCAGGGCATACTACATCAAATATTATAAAAAAAATTCAACATTTTAAGTACTAAAAATTACAAAATTTATTTTCGTTATGTCAAGGACCTTGTATGCGGATTAATGAAAATATGAAATTCGTATTTCAAGAAAGAACGAATAGATGATCGAAGCTCACATCGAGAACTTTCAAAGTATGCAATAAGCGGTACTAAGTGGAACTTCTAATATATGAACTGATTTGCAAATTTGAATAAATTTATTGCGAACCGATTTTACCTGTTTATTTATGATTTTTTGATGATATAAAGTTATAGAGTTTTGGCTAATTAAAACCAATAAGATTTTTGAAATTCTTGAAATCCGAGAGTATATATAACCCAGGGGCTGAAAGAGGAACTAGAAATGTGGAAAGTGAAGGCCAAAGTAGTACCAGTAATAATTGGAATCCTTGGAACTATGACTCCTAAACTAGAAAAATGGATTAGGAACAACATCAGAGATCTCTGCCCAGAAGAGCGCATTACTAGGGACTAGGATACTGCGTAGAACTTTCAATCTCTCAAACCTCTGGTAGGACCCGAAGTTCAGAATGGTCCTTAGCACCTAGAGGAGATGAGAAAGGGATATATATATATATATATTTATATACACATATATTTGTAAGAATAGAATGGATACTGGAAAAATACAGCAGTTATACTCCAGAAGCCTCAGAGACTGCTAAATAAAGGCTTATAACACTGGCTACTAGGCTAAATAGATGCGTTAGAAAAGTAGAGACCAAAAAGATGAATATTCCCCAAGAAATTATCAAGAGCGTACTCTTATTTGCAGCGCAACAATATGGTTACAGTAGAACCACCAATAGTAAGAACTGTGCAATACTGGAGTATAAAAGAAAACTTCTACAATATAACCTGGATTCTCTGTCAATTCGACTTATTAAACAAGATTTAATTTATACATTTATACTTATAAGATTTTGTTTGGTTATGTTAAACTAGATTGTTCAAAATATTATAATTTTACGTTAAATTTAAATCCAACAAGAACTAATGGGCTAAAATTACTAAAACCTGTGTGTAAAACTAAACTAAGGACTCATGATTTCTTTATTCGTAATTAATTATTGGAATAAATTACCAAACAATATAGCTTGTGCGTCATCCCTAGCTATCTTTAAAAAAAGATTAGATAATATCATTTATGATTTTATTTAAAAGCTCACATCATGCAGGAAGTCTCGATTTTTACCATTCGATTATAGTTATTTCGAATTGTACTATATTATATTACTTTGTAATTTCCTCTTTATTTCATCTTTAAATTGTTAATTTTATTTTTTTTTTTGTTTTTGTCATTAATTCTAACTATTTATTATTTTAACGGTTGTTATTAATAAAGCACGTGGCGTTTGCGCCTTGCTTGGCTGGTTTTCAATGAATACAAATTTAAATAAATACTTGATTTTTTATCGACAGAATTATTCCCATCCATGGTACGATCAGAATCCATAATACTCAAGATTTTCCATAAAATTATATTTAATATTAGTAAAATTTTTAAAAAATTGGTCAGAACTATTTTTTTATTAAAATTCTGCACAGGAATAATTTGAAATTTTTGTGAACGATTTACATTTTAATTCCGAAGAAATCCATAAATTTATTGTTTAAAAAAATTTTAGAATTAGAATTATTGAATAAGGATTATTGAATAAGGAAGAATAAGGATAAGAAATAGGATTATAGAATAAGGATTTAGAATTTTAAAATTAAATTTTAAAATTTACATTGCTAGTAAAAGCGAAAAATTTTCTTATTTATTCCAAGTTGAAACGGTTGTATTCGAATTTCAACCGTTGAAATTCCATTCCACTATGCATCATTCAAAATCTTCAAATACCTTATCTTCGAGCACTCTGAATGACAAATTTTCGAATGATTTGACCATTAATAATGCATGGAGAGTTAGTGATTTTCATATTTATAAAAGCAAGAAAAATAAGTAAGCGATTAGTACTCGCCGTTTCTGATTAGCACCCCTGGTTCTTAGTACGCTTAGAAAGCTTTAAAGATTTAAAGATTGAAATAAAAGTGAGTCAATATCATCCTTAAATCTTAATGATTGATCCTATCGGGAGTATTAGGATCAGAATTTGTTGAATCGCAATCTGTTCAACCATCTCTTAAAATCATCATGCACTACGTTTTATCAATTTTTTTATGGAGTTTCTTTTGTAAAATAAAGTTATGAATGGTTATGCTTTACACTGACCTACTTAAAATTCTGTACTGTCAATGAAAATAACTTAAAAAATGTAGTTAATACTATATCAATAAACAAAATATTCCATAAAATCGTTTTTTAATATTTTTCCATTCACTAATTCTTGCTTTTTTTTATATTAAATTATTCTTCAATATCTTTGATGCATATAAATTTGGTTTATCTATATGGCCTACTTAATTTTCTCTTGCAACAGTCCGTACAAATGCTGGTTAGCGTGGCTCCGCTGACAAAGAGATTGAGGCCTTTGCGCTGGTTCTTATATCTAATAAAATATCTGAATAAATTTAAATATATTTATAATAAATCATTTTAAAACAGGTCCTCTATGAATTAGGTAAAGGCGGATGTGGAATAGTGTATAAAGTCGAAGGAACTCGAGGCAAAAATAAAGGTTTATATGCCGCGATGAAAGCAGAATTCGCTGATGGGAAATGTCACAAATTACCTAAAACACTTGCCGCTGAGGTAAGCCGTTGTTTATTTTAAGATAAATACTCAAAATATCTACTCGCATAAAAAAATTAAACATTTGACAAGCCGCCATATAGATACTTTTGTGTAAAAGTTATGATATATGCTCACGGGTTGCAGGCATTTGTCTTAAGAAGAATGCAGTGGTCGAAACATTTTTGTCGCTTGCACTTGGCTGGACGTCGATCACCAAACTGTAATATAGTCATAATGTCACTAGTTGGACGATCACTTTCTTGGTTGCGTCGCCAAAATCCTGGACAACGCTTCACTCTTTCTACTGCAATACGAGTAGGATTGCAATGCCTTCAAGTATGCACTGGAATTATATTAAACAAGCAATATAATAAAATAAGCAAAGAAGATAAAAATGTGATGTCATAAATGCACATATGGCTGAGAACACAATAAATCTGTTAAATCGAAGGATTTGCAACTGAGCAAACTGATCAAAAGTTATAACTGTTTATATGTATATATTTATATATTCCTTGCGATAAATGATGGATTTGTAGGCTGTAGAAGATTTACATAGCACAGGTTTCCTCCACAGAGATATCAAGGCATCGAATTTTGCTATAGGCCATAATCGGTGTCGAACAATATACCTCATTGATTTCGGGTTTGCTAGATCATATGTTAGTTTATTATTTTTATAAATTCAATATTCAACAAATTTGTAAACTTATAGGTTTAGTTTTTTTCAACAATTCAATAATTTTTGATGGAAAGCCTATGAACAGTAAAATTAAAATTAAGCAAACGATGTCAACGATGAAGATGAAATTTTGATTTTTTTTAAAGTAGGGCTAAAAAACGTTTTAAAAAGCAGTACAGGAGAATTCTGATGCGTTCCTATGTAAAATTTTAGCTAGAAAAAATCAACGGAGAACTAAAACATCGACCACCGAGGCTTGTCGCGCCATATTTAGGAACAAGGCGATATTGCTCGATTAATGCACATAAACGAATCGATCAAGGTGATTTTTAATAATTTTATTAAGTGATTTTTAATAAGGTGATTTTTTATCTTTATTTTCAGCATATTTATTGTATAATAAACTTCATCAAGTAATATTACCCTTTTTTCTTCCAGTTCGCACCATTGCTGGTTTGGCTCGCTCCGTTGGTAACTCACGTTTTACTAGGGTAAGACATTTCCAAGCTTTTCGACTGGTTAAGTGACAAGATGGTTATCACTGAGAATGGCTTGGCTTCGAAACCAGCCAATGCACAACATCGAACGACAATGTCGCTAAATGGTGAGAGAATAAGTAGATAGAATGGTGAATTCTTGTTGCAGCGCCGATGTTGCCGATGTTCTGCAGAAGTGAACCTGTCTTTGAAAATCCGGTTGATGCAGATGACACTATACTTACACTACCAAATAACTCCCTGGCAAAATTTGTTTGATTCAATAAACCAATAAACCAGTGGAGTGAGTACAATTAGCGATGGTGAATCCTCTTGGAGAAAAAAAAGTCTTCCGATTTGATGTCGTTGCTGAAAGTAACTGAAGCTTCTTTTCCCACCTTCTAAGCCCTTATATCGTTGGACATTCAAAATCTCCAGTGACCGTATCAATCCAAGTCTTGATTGGCACACAGTGTTTTTCAAATAAGACACTTAAGGACGCAGGGATGATATGTGGTCATTTCTATATATGATGATTGAATTTATTACTGGAAAAATCCCATGGAGGTGCTCATCAAGTATGGAAATTATCACTAAAAAGGTATAATTTTCATTTTTAGCAGATTATGAAAATTGACAGTTTTATTCGTCAAGGCGAAATTTCTTTTAATGTTTTTTACACTGATTCAAATCCGCATCAGCGATTTACTTTTTTAATAGAATTGAAGAAAATAACCTCAAATAATTGAAGCAATTTGGTGAAGAATATTTGCTAAGAAATTGTCCTTACGAATTTTATAAAATATACGACCACACAAATGCGCTGAATCTCACAGAAAGACCCGATTATGATATGATCAAAAATAAATTTTATGAAATTATTGAAAGGAAGAAATACCTACTGGATGATCCATATGATTGGGAAGAAGGTGGAAGGTACGATTAAACTGCCGTCTTTCTTAAGGTGTTTAATTAATCCATCTTTTTTTAGAAAAAATAAATAATAAAATAAAAAATACTATGCATGGTCCGAAGGAGTATTAAGAGAACATAATGAAGAGAACATGAATGCTGAGAAAATGCCAGGATGTGAAGGCAGTTCTGCTCCTCCCAGAATTTTTACGAGCAAATAAAAGACTAATCTAAATTTAACTAATTATTCGCTTTTCCTACTGAGTAATTATGATAATGTTTGGATTCAATTTTATGACTCTCTCTAAAAACCGTTGACTAAGCCGAATAAAAAAGTATTATTTTTAGATATTACATAGAATATGAAATGAATAGAAAAAGAAAAATTGGCGAAACGTCGGTTGAAGGTGGAAATCCAAGGATCTAAATTCTTCATTACAACGCAAAAATTACTAAAAAACTAATATTTTGCGTATATACGAGCAGATTTTTCAGCTTTGAAAATTTTTCGAAAAATTTAGTAGAAGGCAAAATGAAACATTGGCACAGCTTTTTTATGAAATTTGATTTGAAATGATTGGATTGAAGAATAATTGAGGCCATGCAAACTGATGAAATCATATTCTGCTTCAAGTGCAGTCACATTTTCTTAGTTTCTCTCCTTGACGAGAATCTGCTACCACGAGTTGTTGAAATATTTATAGATTTATAGAAAAATTCACGTAGTGAGCTAATCATAATTCTCGCACCAAGCGGTTTTCCGATGAGATTTCACCATACCAGTAAGCCTAGCCAAATCAAAAATGGCACTTTAAGAAGAAGAAGAAGAGTAAACATCTACTGGAGTAAGAATTAAGCTAAATTATTCTTAGGCATGAATTTCTATATAATATTTGTCAGATGCAACATGCTAAATATAATTTAGCAGAATTAATAACATATACAATAAATTACCATGTTAGAGTGTTCACTTAGTTTCTGCCGAAATCACTTAAATTTTGGCAAAATCAGTTCCTATGTCCTATAAATAGCGGCTTGTACACCCCGTCATCACTGACCAATCATTGTTCACTTTAAAAATCCCGTGTTACTTTGATTCGATAGCAATATACCCTTTCAAACCCCGCACAACTGTTCAAACTCTCACTAACTATTCACTTTCTTAACACCTCGAAACCTGTTATTATATTAACACTTATCAAAGTCCTGCTAATTTCTCCTACCTCCTGGCCTTAATCCAGTGAACACCACCATAATTTTTGAAAAGATCCTCAGGACCTTTCGTATTACACCAGAACTGCAACAACCTTAATCCTCTTAAACGTGCCTATGTACCTTTACTATGTACCTTTTTCATAAAAGGTAGTTACACTAATTGTACTTCCCTGGCCCTATTCCTAAATGAAACTTTACTATCCCAGCGTACTGGAAAACACTCACATGCCCTACTCCCAAACTACTTCCGAAACAACCCTGAGTCGTGCCCCCCATCGAAGCACTTTGCGTGAAAACCTCCCTAACGTCCACCTCGTGACGCGCGTCTGAATGTTAGTAAAGTGAAGAAGATTTTTAAATTTCAGTCGTTCATTTCTTCATGAAAGATTTTTTATAAAATTTTGAATGAATTCATCTGATTTCCGAATTCGTAATAATTTTCGATTAATTGATGCGAAAGGAGTAAATATTCCACGTTGTGAGCACGGTTCGTTTATTTCGATCTCACTTTTCGTGGCGAATAAAATTTTAAAAAAATCTTAGTGGTTATTTGGACTTATCGCTTGCTTAAGCGAAATTAGCTCGTTCATCGAGCACATTCACGGGAGAGCGCTGAAATGAAGCGCATTTGTCTGCTGCAGGCCGACTGGACGCTCTCTCCCCCAGTGACTCTCCGTCTGATTGGCCTGGCAGCTAGACAGAGACCCAGCCGCACAAGAAGAAAAGGAAGGATAAGGTGAATGTTTGGAAATGAACGAACATATGGGAGCTTCTTTTCAGGGCCTTGCATTTTGTTCGGACAGTCAACTTCTTCTGGCATTGTTAAAAAGATTTTTGTTTGTTCTGTTCATCGCTCTCGTCGATGTCGAATTAAACGAATCGTCAAAAGTGATGGTACCATTCAGGAAAGTCGCCAAGCGCAACCTTGCTTAACCACGAGAAAATTTCATTATGGCTGCATCAGAAAAAGGCATTCAATCGTTATTTTATTTCTCTAATTAATTCTTAATTGAAACAATTTTAATTTAGTGTAAACGAATTACGAAAAGCAAGAAAAGAAATTTATTATTGTGAAAAATGCAATGATGCCGTTCGAATACCCCACATCGATGCAGTTATTGGGCCATTAACGGTTTCAAATTTTCGAAAGCCAACAAATCTTTTTAAAGCGATTACCGATGATGACTGTGAAGCTGTAAGTATCTTTTTTTTCTTTTTTCTTCTATATTTTATTTTTGGTTTTTCTAGCTCCATTAACTATTTTTTTCTTTTCTTCTAACAGCTCTCACCATTACTGGTTAGGCCGGCTGCGCTGGCTACAAGGATAAGACGCTTCCAAACTGCTCGGTCCGACGCCGTCGCTAATAGTAATGGAAGCCATTTTTTTTTAAGTCCATATATCGCTGGCTATATACCACATACGTTCAAAATTTTTCCTGAATCCAGTCCAGTCTAGATCTTGGCAGGTCTCCTGGCTTTTGACGCCAGCTATCACAGGGTTTAGCAAATAATGAAATATGCGTCACCTCCTGTGGTGGACGATGGAGAATGTGCCCTAACCAGCGAAGGCGATGCTCTGTGATAACATTATTAATACAGGTGGTATTTAAACGAAGATGGATACAATCAATACGAATTTATACGTTCGACGGATCCGTAACATACATCTTAGACATGAGTGGTCAAAGGCTAACAGCTTCTTAATATCTTCCACTCTCATTGTGCATATTTCGCAACCATATAGCAAGATTGAGCGAATTGCAGCTATATGGGCGGATTTTCGTCTTTATGGTGATTTCGTGATGGTTCCATAAAGATTTCATCAACCGGAGAAACATAATTCTAGCTGTCGCTATCCGTGTTACAATTTCATCTTTTTCCTGGCCATTTGGGATTAGAGTGGATCTAAGGCATTTAAAAGTTCAGTCCTCAGCCGGCAATGAATTGATAAAAATAGCTATTTTATTAGCACCTTGTATATAAAACGAAAATATTTTCGTTTGATTATATTGATTTACATTGATTATTCACATTGGTTTTGAGTCCAGTTCTTGCTGCAATTGTTGACACATTGTTCAATAGGGAAAAGGAAGTATCCTTGACATACACCAGTTCTTATTTCGAAGGAGTCTATCAGTTCCCCATATACACAGACCTGTGCCCGGATATGCTGATAAAATGCCTTTATGACTTGATTGATTTTCTATGAGACACTGTCACATTCCATCACTTTCCAGAGTATTGCTTTATCAATCAAATTGAAGATAGTTGCAAAATCGATGAAACAAATGAGGATAGGTTACTGGTATATGGCTGCTGAAACGAACACCCAGCACCCTTCTTATCATAAATATCTGGTCAGCACAACCGCGTTTCGGTTTGAATTCAACTTGGTTAGAATGCATTCTGCTATCTGGTGTTACCATGAGTCTGTGTAGCAAAATGAAAGCAAAAATTTTTCCGAGCATGTCCTCAGTAATTGTCGCAGTACATCCTATCATCTTTCTGAGAGTGGGAAGAATTGCTTTGCTCCAGTCTTTTGGTATTATTTCTTTTTACTATACCAGAGAATACATTTGTTAAAGGTGAGTTATGAACGATGATGATGGACGTTTGAAGAGTTCGGCTCGAAAACCATCTTTTTTGGTAATTTTATTAGCCTTAAGCTTATGGATTACAGACAATATTTCCTCTTCTGTTGGCGGTTCACAATTGCGTAAGACTAGACGAGCAAATCAGTTATATTCGGGACAATAGATGGTGCATCGTGGTTAATTTTGACTTCAAAAAATTCCTTCCATCTCTTGAGGCTATCCTTAATATCTTTAATAGGCACTCCATTAATATCCCGTATCATTTCACTGACCCTTTCTCAAGTTATAGTTGCTTTGTGATGATGGCGAAACAGTTTCCTATCAGCTATCCGAGCCGCCATCTCCATTCTCAAGGCCATATCGCTCCAGTAGAGATTTTTGCTGTGGTATTGTCATTGCAATTCTCCGATGTACCAAGTAGTCAGGATTTCCTGATATTTGGGCTTTGGCACCTTTTCCAGACAGTTGGAAACTAAATGAACACTCTAACATAATAATTTATTGTATTTTAATCGGGAAATTGAAAATTGATTCAAAATAATCAGGAATAAATTGTTGAAACGATCGCTTGCAATTTTCGAAATTCTCGAAATCCATTAAATATTAGGGCGACAGATTTAGATATTTTCCTTAGAGGAATGTTATATGCGAATAGAGTGGCACAGGGTTCTCTCTTCATTTTCATTTAAAGTTCATTCAAAGTTCATGACAAAACTTTCCTGCTTTAATTTCAGCCGGGACAATATGTACTTCAACCACAAAATAGTGCATGTCAGATAACGAAAAATTTTAAAAATTTGCTGATTTCGGTAGAATTTCGTACATAAATTCCGTACATAAATCTTTATTTTTTCATTTTTTTTATTTTTGTTTTCTTATTTAGCAATATTGGTTCAGTGAAAATTCATTAAAATTGATAACAAAAACGTTAGTGGAAAGTGGTTTTGATGGTATTCTTTGCATAGGCACACCAACTGTTTTCGAATATTTTCAAAGCAGTCTGCAGTTGCGCCGATCCATTAGATCATTTCTTCTTGATTTTGATTCGCGTTTTGTTAGTTATATTCAATTACTTTATTATTTCCGCAGAATCCGGTAATTTTTCTTCCAGTAATTTTTTTGCATTTTTATATTTACTTTTTTGTTTATTTGTTTACTTTTTTGTTTATTATTTTTTATTTTTACTTGTAACATTTAAGATATTTTTTATTGATATAAGTAAACTCCATTTTTTGCTAAATTAAGAAATGGAAAATTTCAGAGGTATTTCAAAGAATAAGGAGATAATATATTTACATATAAATTAAATATATATATGTTCATATGGAGATAAAGTGAGTTGTTGCTCAATTCGTGCTCAGTTCGGAGTGCCGATGCTGAGATTCGATTCTCCGCAGGAGTAAACCTGTCAAAAAATCCGGGTAATGCTGGCAATTCACCTGTACTTCTACTGCCAAGGGATTCCCTGGCATATTTGTCCAATGCGACAAGCTATCGAAGCGAGTTTTACCAGTGGTGGTAAGGATTCTTTAAAAAAACTTATATTTATATATGTAGTATTAAATTTTATTAATGACGATTTAATTTCGACATTGTCAACATTGCTTCTGAAAAAAATTCAAGTTTTTATCCATATGAGCGGTTGTGTCGAAAAGGCGCTCTGTTCATTATTCAATAAATTCAAAAAAAGATATTTATTTTATCGCTATATTATATTATCTTATAGTTTATTAATTATTATTTATCATTTATGAATCTACGAATCGGATAAGTTTTTTTTCCTCTTAAAATTTTTTTTTCTCTTTTTATTATATCATCTCTAAACTTATCTTTTAAATTTAATTTAATTATCTCTATCCTCTGTTTTTGACAGGACTAAACCTGTCATGATTTCAAAAATCCCGGAGGCTGCATGGGGTCCACCTGTATCCCCAAGTGACTCTATGGCTAAAAGGTCAGGTCTCTTTTACGCGACGTCTGTGTCTCGCGACACGCATTTTACTTCTGACCCGGTACATGCGATGAATATTACATAATCCGGACGCTATAGTAATAATAATAATAAAAGTCCAAGGCAGAAACATAGAATTTGCTCGCGAACCGAAATAAATACTCAAAATCCGTCAAGGGAGGCGGGAACCTTTCCGTTAACACTCTGTAAATGCGGTGAGGTGTTGGCTATAGCTTGGAACGTCAGAACATATGGATGTTGCAAGCGATCCATACCCTATCCAAATACCGCGTGGATGTAGCTTGTTTATCCTTCTTTCTCATGTCAGCTCCCGAGTAATTATTAAACCTGGTTCCGGACAAAGATTGATTATATCGCAATGGTCTCGGATAACTTGGGGCGAAATGGCGTAGCGATTTTCATGTCGATCCGCTATGATTGAATGGAAATCAGTAAATGACCGTATGGCCTACGCACGTTTCAAACGAAAGTTCATATTTCAGTTTTCAGGGTATGTGCTCCAACTTTATATGCAGATGACCGGGATAAATATAAGTTCTATGCGGAACTTCAACTGTTAACAACATCTCTACCGAAAGGTAGCATGGTCATAATCAGGGGAGATTGGAATGCGTACGTAGGTCATGATGCCATTACGATGAATTCGATAATTGGCAAATGTAGCATCTGGGTTCAGCGCCAATGGAGAATCGTTTTTCTTCGTTTTGCGGAACAGCATGAACTTTGTATTACTAATATATGCTTTCGGCATCGGAGAAAACATCTAGTCAAGTGGAATTCTTCAGACAACCAATATTCCAATCAGATTGGCTATATATTAGTCAGTCACCGCTGGAAGAGTTCTGTACTTGATAGTCGTACTTATCGGGGCGCTGAAGCTGGTAAACGCCATGGATCAGATCGTGTTATGGTTCGAGCCAAAATTCGTATAAAACTGATAAGTTGTAAGAAATAACGTATCCCAAGATCATTCAACTATCTCAAATTAAAAAATCCGGGAACAATAAGCATATGTCAAACCTCATTATTGAAACACCTCAGTGAAATGAATGTCAATGACATTTTTGGAACGGCGAATGAATACTGCTCCCAATTAAAGATATGCCTACAAAAGTCAACCACTTCCACATTAGGGTATAGTAGTATGAAGTGTGTTAGTTGAGTGTTAGTTAGTTGAAAGCAACTGTCCAACTGTCTGGAAAAACTGCCAAAGCTCGAATATAAGGAGATCCTGACTATCAGATACTTCGAAGAATTACAACAACAGCAGTACGGCGGGATAAAAATCGTTATTGGAGCGACATGGCCTTGAGAATGGAGTCAGCGGCTCGGATAGGTGATAATAAGAAGGCGTCGCCTTCTCCGCAAAGCAACTATAACTCGAGAAGAGGTCAGTGAAATAGTACGGAATATTAATGGGGTGCCTATTAAAGCTGTCAAGGATCGTCTCAGAAGATGGAAAGAATTTTTTGAGGCCAAACTTAACCACGACGCACCATCTGTTGTCCCGAATATAACTGATTTGCACATCTAGCCTTATGTATGCAATTGTGAGCCGCCAACAGAAGAGGAGATACTCTCTTTAATCCATAAGCTTAAGGCTAATAAAACTCCAGAAGAAAATGGTCTTCAGGCCGAACTTCAAATTGCCCATCATCGTTCATAACTCACCTTCAACAAATGTATTCTCTGGTATGGCAAAAAGATAATACCAGAAGACTGGAACAAAGCAATTCTGCTCCCCATTTCTAAGAAAGGCGATAGGATGTACTGTGACAATTACCTAGGAATCAGCCTATTGGACATCTTCGAAAAAATTTTCTGCTTAATAGGCTCATGACAACTCGAGATAGCAGAATGCGTCCTAACCAAATGAAGACCAAGGCGCGGTTGTTGCTGACCAGATATTTACGCTAAGAAGGGTGCTCGAATATCGCTTCAAATATCAGCAATCCACTGTCACTTGCTTTATCGATTTTGCATCTGCTTTTGATTCGATTGATAATGGAAAGTGATGGACTGTAACGATGTCTCAGAGAAGATCATTCGGCTCTTATAGGCATTTTATCAGCATACCCTGGTTTTATCAGCGCAAGTCGGTGTAAAGGGAATAAACTTCTTTGAAATAAAAGCTGATTTTTGGGTCTTTTCCCCCACAATATTCAACTATGCGGTAGACTGGATAATGGGCATCGATTGTCGTCACTCAAGAGGTGTGCAAATCAGTCCAGAATATAGCATCACAGACCTAGAATACACTGGTGATATAGTCCTTTTTGCTGACAATGATGAGGAAATGCAAATAATGTTAAACATAGTCAACAATTGCAGCGAGAATTGGCCTCAAAATCAATGTAAAAAAATGAAAATATTTTCGTCTTATATAGAAGATGCTGATAAAATACATATTTTTATCAATTTATTGCCGGTTGAAGAAGTGCTGGACTTTAAATACCTTGGATCCACTCTAATCCCAATTGGCCAGGCAGAAGATGAAATTGCAATTTGGATAACGACTGCTAGAATTATATTTTTCCGGTTGATAAAACCTTTATGGAACTGTCGCGAAATCACCATAAAGACGAAAATACGCCCATATATCCTGCAATCCTGCAATTCGTTCGATCTTGCTGGTTGCGAAAAATGTCCAATGAGAGTGGGAGATATCAAGAAGCTGTTAGCCTTTGACCACTCATTTATATTTGTATACATTTTATATAAATAGGTACATTTTACGGATATATATTTTAGGATTTTACGGATCCGTCGAGCGGATAAATTCGTACGTGATTGTATCCATCTTCATTCAAATACCACCTGTATTAATAACGTTATTAAAGAGCGTCGGCACGTTATCCATCGTCCACCACAGGAGTTGACGCATATTTCATTATTTGCTAAACCCTGTGGTGGTTGGCGAAGCGAGATGGGCCAATCAAGACCTGGACTAATATAGTCAGGAAAGATTTTGAACGTATAGAGGGACCAGCGATGTATGGACTTAGACGATGGAAAAAGGAATGGTTTCTATTACTACTAGCGATGGCGTCGGGCCGAGCAGCTTGGAGATCTTACTTTTGTAGTCAGCGGAGCCAGCTTAACCAGTAATTAGGTGAGAGCTGTTAGAAGAATAATTGTCCAATTAATATTATAATATAAGTAGAAAGATGCTAGAAATATTTGTATACAGTAAGCTGTATGGCTATGAACAATTTAATTTCGACATTGTGAACATTGAAAAAAAACTATTACTCAACTTATTACTTTATACTATTGACTTAAGTTATCTATTATTGATCATGGTCAGAATTTTTTTTTAAATTAAGCTAAGATAAGATATTTAATGCTTAATATTTTAAAGTTTTCAAAACTATTTATAATTGCATATTGTGAAACTGGACTTTTGATCGTTTTCAGGTTGTTCATATTTATAAGTCAGTTAATATAAATAATCAGTTAATATAAATAATTTTTTATTAAAGGTATGTCTGGTTTCGGCCACATACTTATATGGATTTTTTATTGATATAATAGTGAAATTACTGTGATTAAAAAGTGGAAGAATATGAACATAATTGTTATATTAGCTTCAACTAAAGACTTCAACTCTATTTTATAGATTAATTTGAATAGTATGGTTAGATTGTAATAATAGGCGAATTATCTGTTGAAAAATTATATAATTTTTTATATTTTAGCTTAAAATTAGAAGATTTTTCTAATCCTTTCCTATTTATTCCTCAGGAAAATTAAACAAGTTATCTTGTTTTATTTACACATATAAGCTATGTTGGAAAAACTACACTTGCGATAGTGAATAAAAATATTTAAAAATTACAATTATATCGAAAATTACAATTTACGATAATATATGCAAATAATTATTTAACACATTCGAAGTAAACAACGAATGCGGTTTACCGTATTATTTTCTATTTTCGGTTATTTCCAACAAGCTATCTTCTTTTTTCTCATTGTTCCCTGATTTTACGAATTTGTTTTAAAATTAAGTAACATTAAGGATAATGGACTGAAGACAAAGAAACCTAAAAGAGAACTGATGTCGCATAATTTTTCAACACGTATCACATTAATTGTTGAAATTAACTGCTTACTTTAAAGACAAATTGGACAAATTTGTCCGTCCCGTTATCCACGCTTTAAACATTTTTTAATTCACCTATATAGCTTTAGGTCTTTTTCTATTTTAGTTAATCTGTTCATTAATAATATTGTATTATTGTATTACTAAGGTTGTTATGTATTTTTACAAAATTGGAACTTTGGGCTTATTGGTATAAAGTTTTTATCCTTTTATCGGAAATTTTTCATTAAAGTTTTGAAAGTTTTGAAAAAAAGTTTTGACATTTTTCTCTATTTAGCTATAAATATTATTCGGTAATATAGTTATGACTGAGTTATATCTGTAAGCCATATTTCTGAACTGTAGTTTAACTGTAGTTTAACTGTAGTGCAGTTTATTTGTAAAATGTAATACTATTATTTATGCAACAGAGAGGGTAATGTCAATATTTTTTAATTTTTGTTCGATTTTTTGGTCATTTAGCTGGTTAGTTTTCATTATTTCTTTATCATTATCACTGCCGTTTTATCATTATTTTTCATCTGGTTTCAGGAAGCTTTCTATTTGTCATCTCATTTCGCTCAGTTTAATATGCTAGCAAACTATTTTTTTGATCAAGGCAGCATTTCTAAATTACAAACGTTTTTCATCAACGTTCATCACTTAGCAATTGTTTGCGATCCACCTTTTGGTGTTTTTATGGATGCATTAATGCAAACTATTAAAAATTTGAAAGAAAAATTTTTAGCAACTGGCGGGTAACAATTATTTTACTGGATTTTCGCAAAATTTATTGCTAATATTCGAAAATATTTTAAATATTTTATGAAAAAAATTTTAATCGTATTAGAAACCGTATTAAATAAAATGGAATTGATGATAGATTTTAGAGAAATATTTAAGAAATTCACTTGTTCACTTTATTCACCTTTTTTTACCTTAAAATTTGGCATCCATTTCATATCTTTAATAGCTTTCTTTTAAAATTTAAAACCTTATTTCAGGGATAAATTTGTTAAAGTACTTTTAACTTTGCCAATTTTTGTTGCGAAACATGCGCAGCGCTATGATAACAAACTTCAAATGGTCGATTACAAGGTTTCTTTTTTATTGCACATTGCACATTTATAATGAAGAGTATTTTCGTTCTTTTTGTTGTATTTTATTTTTATTTTTTATTTCTCGATATATCTACTGATTTTTCAAGTTTTATGGAGATTAAATCTTAAATTTTTTTTAGTTTTTTTTTAAATTTCCTTCACATTTTTTTTTTCTTTTCGTAATCCATTCATTTCAATTTTTCATAATAATAGCAATTTTATTCGAGTTGAATGTGTTGAATCGCTCAGTCACTCGTAAATTCAAAATATTTAAAATATTTATAAATATTTATTTATAATAAATATTTTAAAATATAACTCGTAAAACAAAATATTTTCACCAAATTAGTTGAGTATTTCCACATGGATCAGTGATTTTCAATGGCTGTGTTAGAGAAATCGTCTTGCTAATCATATAGATATTACCCTTCATAATTTTTTTTGCAGTTCTTTCTAACTGAAATTTAAAATTAAGGTTTGTTATCGAAATCACGCAAAATATATCAAGCCAGGAAAGTCTATTATTCGTATCTTCACCGATATTCCTTTGGTACATTTTTTGTTGCCCGAGGAAGAAGGATACAGGTTGAATTATCATTATTTCTAAAAAGCAAACAAATGCTGGGGGATAATGGCGATGTTCACCGTTGAATTGAAAATACTTGTATAATAAACACTAATATATTGATTGACTACTTCTTTATTTTGATATTTACAAGTCATATTTTATTTATTATGTGCATTGATGTTTAATTGTGTTAAAAATTAGAGATAAGCAGAATAGTTGTTGCTAAAAAACCTCGGACAAAAAGGTTCATTCACATCCTATTTCCAACAAGAGTGATTGTCGTTAAGAAATTCGTGATGGAAACATCCTTATGCTTTTATAGTTTACTCACTGGTTAGAACCTGGTCCCTTATTATTATATTAATAGTTTAGCAAGTAGCAAGGTGTGCGTTTGTTCCTGCTATGGGCGACGAAAAACGACCTACCAAGCTCTGTGGTAATATTATTAATGAAAGTGGTTTTTGAATGAAAGTAGATTTTATCACACCTCTAACCGGTGCTGGAAGTTCATATCTTTCGCTTTGTGGTCTAATATAAGATTGGATCTACGGTATTTAAAATCTATCTGTGGTAAATCGATAAAAATAGGTATTTTACCTATTAGCGTCTTATATATAAGACGAAAAATTTTATATTGATACAGGTCCGATCTTTGCTGCAATTGTACCTTCATTTCTTGCATCTCTTTCTTCATAACTATTAGCAAAATGGACTGCATCATTATGCTTAGTACAGTATATTTCTTTTATTTTAACAAGCGATAATCCATAATCCATCTCATCGTTGAATAGTGTAGAAGAAAGGACGCATTGATGACTTTGACGGAGTTCTTCGAGAGGATTTGTCCTCCCTTGCACACAGACTTGAATCGATGTACACTGGCCCTTCTTTAGAACTCTGTGGCATTCTATCAGAGCGCCGTTTTATCAATTGATTCGAAAGCAATGGCAAAATATTTGTCGGCGGGTTGCTGATATTGATACTATGATTAGCGTGGATATTTAGTCAACACATCGGCTGCCTGGTCTGAATCCAGCTTGCTGGGGCGCGTCCTGCTATTTTTTTCTTCTTCTAACAGCTCTCACCATTATTGGTTGGGCTGGCTTCCCTGGCTACAAGAGTAAAACGTCTCCAAACCGCTCGGTTCGACGCCATCGGTAGTAGTAATAGAAGCCATTCCTTTTTCCATCGTCTAAATCCATATATTGCTGGTTCCCCTATATGTTCAAAATCTTTCCTGACTGTATCAATCCAGGTGTTGGCTGGTTCTCCTCGCTTTTGACGCCAACCATCACAGGGTTTAGCAAATAACGAAATATGCGTCAACTCCTGTGGTGGATGATGGAGAACGTGCTCTAACCAGCGAAGGCGACGCTCTGTGATGACATTATTAATGCAGGTGGTATTTGAGCGAAGGTGGATACAATCATGTGCGATTTTATCCGCACGGCGGTAGAATGTACCTTAGACATGAGTGGCCAGAGGTTAATATTTAACATCTTCCATCCTGCTATCTCCTAATGCCATAAATCTTTTTGGCAGAATAAAAATTTTCTCACGATGGCAGAGATCTAAACTAATTCCTGTAGGCTTGGAGTCTAGAAGAGACAAAAGCAATGAAATTTAAGCGATAGATATATATATATAAATATATTCAAATCAAGAATTATGATCCAGAAAAAGTCTGTTAATAGACTATTAAGATTTTTCTTCCACTTAAGATGGATAAAAAGACTAAAAATATTTAGTTGGATGAATTTAATGATCGTATTCTTCAACTGTATTCGTTGTGCTACGGAAGCCGCAAAAATCTATCGAGTCTTGTAACTGTAAAACTGCAAACACCATCAATTATTATTGCTAATTGCAAATTGTTACGCTGGATATTTGAATATTTCTGCTCAAAGGCCTTTCATTGGCCTTGAGCTTCTGAATGAGGGCAATTATTTCTTGCTTTGTTGGTGGCTCGCAGACATGCCTTGGCAAGCATTATATATGATCGCAATTGACAGATTATATTTCATATTCACAATTTAGAAGTTGCAATTTTAATTGAAAATCTTGAAGAATTTTTGGCTTATTTTTTTTAAAAAAAACATTCAACTTGAAGGTTCTGTAATATTTGCAAGCGATGCGTTACAATGGAAAATCAACATTGTTCAGTTTGTAATATTTGCCCTTCTATGGTTATGATTCTTATGATTCCTTTTCTTCAAAATTTATTTAAAATTTTAAAATTTTAGAAATATTTTAGAATTTTATTTTAGAATTTTTATTTAGAATTTTAAATTTTAAAATTTATTTATAAATATGGAAATAATTTATTCATTTACAGGATGGATCGAGATATCGTCATTGTACAGTGTGTTTTCGTTGTGTGAAGTCATCTTACGTGCATTGCATCTCCTGTAATCGGTGCCATCTTCATGGTCGATGCCAATAAAAATGCTTATGTATCATAAGAAAAAAGAAATTTTTTGCAATCGTTACGGAAATGTCCTTTTTTTCAGCTTAGAATCAGTTTTAATTCTAACTCTTTTGAGATTTTCGGCGTTCGATGAAAATGGCTAAATCGTTCGGCTGCTTTGATTTACGCTTGCGTGAGGTTTCCAGAATAAAATTATATTCTTTTTGGTTATTTTATCCAAATTTTAACAAATTTACAGGTTAATAAATTTTATTTTTTGAAAGTGAAAGTGTGTTATAGTTACCCTTTTGTAAATCCAATGGCCCTATAGCGAAAATTTTGTTTTATTATGGTATTTAGATAATTAAATATTCAAGATTAAAAGTGTATTGAAGGAGTAGTATTGGATATACATGTTATAAAAAAGATCCCATTTCTCACCTCCTGTTGGTGGTAAGGGTTATTCTGAATTCCGAGTCCAGTAGCCTGGGAAATTGAGGGTTCTGCGCAATATTTTAGCTGTTCCTAGCAATATGCACTTCTGGACAGAGATCTCTGATGGTATTTCTGGAAAGTGAAGCAACTTTTCTAGTTTAAGGATCATAGTTCCTAGTGTTCCAATTATCGCTTTGGCTTTGATTTTCCGCATCTTCCCTAATTCCTTTTTCATTCTCTGGTATTTCTCTAACTTCTCATAGTCGCTATTAATTACTGGAATAACCCACCAAAAGACGTAATTTATGCACTATCCTTACCTATTTTAAAAAAAAGATTAGGTAACTTCATCCATCATATTATTTAAAAACTTTGCATCATGCAGGAAGTTTGATCTTGATCTTTTATTCGATTATCCGATTATCGGTAATACATTCGTTTTCGTTTGATTTTGCTTATTTTCCTGGTAATGCTAGCGATTTACTTATACTTCTATCGTCAAGAGACTCCCTGGCATATCTGTCCCAGTGCGACAAGCCAGAGGAACGATTTGACCAGTAATGACTTTTAAAAAACAAAATGAACGAATGGTTTACTTTATATTTCCTCTTTATTTGTAATATTTCTCTTTATACTATTACCTTTTGGTCACATTCATTTTGTTGCTTATATCGCAATCACTAATTTTTTCCATTTGATACTTCAATTTGTTGTTATTTATGAAAGCACATGGCGCTTATCACACTGCTTGATTGCTTAAACAAATAATTAAATATTCCTATTCTTATTTTTTGTTCCTTATTCCTATTCCTTATTCCTTTGCCTTAACATTCCTGCCACTTGGTATTGCTATATTCATCACCAGTGCTGATTTCTGGCTTAGTTGGCCGATACTTGTTTACCTGTCTTGATGGAGAAGTCTCACAGGATTCTGAATTCCCCATCTTTCTAGTCTTGAAAGGGTCTAAACAATGATATATTGTGCAGATATTCCTGTAGATGATGCTAGCTTTTCAATTTATGTTATTCCTTCTTGCATTTTTACATCTTGCTCTTGTATTGGACTATTTCTGAGGCATTTTGCATTTCGAATCCTGTTGTGATGGATTCCTGCCTTAATGAATTTGGTATCTGTAATACCTGCTGATGTGGTGTTGTGATTAATACATTTTAGTCATGCTACATTGCTACATTTTATGCTACATTTTAGTCCAGCTTTTTTCAACCATTGGACATACTGTGACAGTTATGG